GAGTCGTCGGCGTAGGCGACCGTGTGGGCGAGTAGGTTGTCCTCCTCGCCGAGCGTCTGCGCGAGGTCCTTGAGCGCGGCGTCGAGATACACAATGAACAGCGCCGGCGACAACGAGTCGCCTTGTGGCGTGCCGATGTTGGGTTACGAAATCGAACGGGCTGTGCGACTTGCCGTCGATGCGCAGCCGGAGCGTCGTGGTCGTGAGCAGCATGCGAACCAGGCGCACTTCATCATCGTCGAGAAAGCCTCGAAGCACCGCGAGGAGCTTCGCGCGGTCGATCGTGTCGAACGCGCGTGAAAAGTCGATACCTAGGATAGAGAACTGCTCTTCGTACTGGCGGATGCGGGCGATGCGCCACTTGTGCGACCAAACGACGTCGGCCGTGCTGCGTCCAGGGCGAAAGCCGCTCTGATACGCGCCAATCTGCTTGTCGAGCTTCGGCTGGATCCGCTTGAGCACCATCACAGAGACGGCTTTGCGGATGCCGTTGAGCAAAACGATCGGGCGGAGGCTCGAGCACACGCCAACAATAATGATACAAACCTAACTACTTGTTTTACAATGGCTACGCTTGCCTATGCGATCGACGAGGACGACTCAGCAGTCGTTGTACGTTGGCGTTTGGGGCATGGTCATCATGTCGCCATCGATCTCGACGTCCGTACTCGTCGTGCGGGCGCGCGCCAAGTAGTACGTCGCGCCCCAAAAGAGGACGGCCCACAGTAGCCAGCCGTAGGCAAATGCAAGGGTCGCGCGGAGACCGGTCGCGTCCAAATGGCAGTTCGGGTCGAGCACGTCGGATCCGTTAATGTCCACGACGCTACCGCAGTGTGGTGCCCAGCGATCTTTGAGCGCGCCAAGGATGACGACCGCAGGGACATCGCCGAGGAGGTGCATGAGCAGCGTGTTGAGCCCGACGGCGTAGCTGCGTTGGCTCCACTTGACGCTGAGGAGCACGACAGTCGTGAGCGGCGCTTGGGACATGAGCACGCACATGAGCCCCAGCAGGATGAGCGCCAGCACGACAATCGGCGGTCCGTCCAGCGCGCACATGGAGAGAAAGAGAAGGGCCACGCCGAGGCTCATCGAGCCGAGCATCTGCAGCGAAGCTTTTCGCAGTCGAAAGTGGCGGTCGTCTTCGTGGTCGCGGCAGCTGCGGTCGAGGAGGTAGCCGCCGAGGAGCGCGCCCGTGAGGCTGGAGACGACGACGATGCCACCCATGGCGATCGAGGCGACCGAGACGTCGAGGACACCGAGCCCGATGAAGAGCGCCGGCGCAAACGTCGAGAGACCACCGATCGTGAACGCATACGCCGCCCAACCAAGCGTCGCGGTCGCAAAGATCGGGTTGCAGAGCACTTGCCACGTCGTGCGCCAGTACGATGTCGTCGCCGACGGCAAGAGCGCATCCTCATTCGGCGCGCATTCTGGCGACAGGGTCGGCTTGTTGAGCTCGTGGGGCACGAAATGGTAGCAGGCGTGGACAAGTGGGAGGGCGAGGATCGCCGTGAGGTAGTACCCGACATCCCATCCGACACTGGCGGCCAGAAGTGCACTCACCGAGAAGCCGACCGCCTCGCCGACGGCGACGAGCGCAAAGAAGGCGCCGAGCCACAACGTTCGCTTGGTGGGCGGTGCGAACGCGTCAATGAACGCCGGCGCTGTGGCCTGGAACGACGCTTCGCCGATGCCAGAGACGAGGCGGCCGACAAGGAGCACGTAAAAACTGTTGAGCGGCTTGGCGAGTGCGCAGCAGACGAGTGCTAGAAGCCACACCGAGAGGCCGAGCGCCGTCAGGAAGAACGGGCGCTGCGTGCGCGAGAGGTAGCCAAAGACGCACACGAAGATAGAGAGCGACCCGATGAACGACGTCTGGAGCAGCCCAATGTAGACGCTCACGTGGCTTGACGACACGTTGTGGGCCGATTGCACGAACGCTTGAAACTCGATCGGGGCGCCCGGGATGAGACCGCGGTCGAAGAAGTTCAAAAAGTTGATGACGCAGAGCATCAGAAGCACCTGCTTGGCGCTGAGCTCGAGGCGCAACATCGACATGGCCTGCGCGACGTTGTGCAATTGCGGTTGTGGCCAGCACCCAAGTGGCGGCAGACCATGCACGCGGTTGCTAGGAAGGATATGCGAAATGGGGCCAGGCCATTGGCTGGTTCATTTGTGAAGTTGCTCGTGATTGGCTCACAGTCGGGATCCAAGGAAATCGCCGCTGGCAGCGACACGGGTACAACCATCTCTACCCTCTCTACCATCTCTTGCTTCAACACTCAGAGCACTCAGAATGCAAAGAGATATGTCTGCAAGCAGCAACACTATTCCGCTGCGCAGTTTTGCCGACGATACCTACGCGCTCGGTCAGTGATCAAAACCAAGTCCGAGGTGCCGCTTCTTCCTTGAAGCAGCGAGGAAGCTGGCGCCTCCACGGCTTTCTCTTTCCGCAGCGCTGGAAAGGCCTAAAGTGGTCGGCGGCGTTTATAGCGCCGTCCAGACGCCGGCCCATCGAACGTCTCGGAGACATCGTCGTGCATCGACAGGCCAAAAACTCTCCCAACAAAATCCTATTTAAAAACACGCAACTCGCATGGCGATCGTCGAGCAGGCGACAGCCTCCTTGGCACTGCACCAGCTGCCACCGCGCAAGACAAGGGCACACTACAGTCGAGTGCCCAATAATAGCACAGAATGCGATGGCGGCGCACGTGGTTTCCGACAGCACGCGTAGAGCGTCTACGGACACACAACTGTGTTCCAGCACTGCTATATTATGTACAACAAGAGGCTACAACTCTGGCTACAGCTCGACTTGGTTGAACGCTTCGTCGCCGTCCTCGGTAGAGACTAGACGCACCCATGAGCAAACCAGCGAGCACGCAAGACTGCACCGGAAAGGACATCGTCGCCGTCGTCGTCGTGACGTGCCAAGGTACTCGTCCGATCGCCCAGGACCGACCACGCTGCCACCGCCTTGTCGTCCGGTCGCGCACTGAGCCGCTCCAGTGCTCTTCGCAGCTTGTACAGCTGCTCCTGGTAGAGCATCTACACAACGTTCTCATGAGATATCGAGCAAGGTGCGCGAATAGAGAGACATGGAGCTCGATTTCTTTCTTCTGAAAGGCGTCGCGGAGGACATCGACGTCGGTCAGCGCCTCGGTCTGTGTGGCGACGGTCTGCATGGCTGCTGCTTTCTTATGCACGCTACTGGACTCAATACTGAGGCGCTTGGGCAGGGTCACGTGGCGACAGCGCGCTGCAAATTTGAGCGTCGAGAGCGTCTCGGCGAGGTTGGCCGCCGCGCCGTCGACCGTCGCCAAGACCACTGTACTTCCGGCTCGCAGCACGCCTTTGAGGAGCTTTGTCAACTTCGAGTCACGGTACGAGGCCCGCGTCGCGCTCGCGAGCGACGACATGACGTTGCCGAGCGCTGAGAGAGACGAATTGATACTCTTCGCTTCCAGTAGCCGGGCTTTGGTCGCGTCATGTGCAAAGCCAAGACCCGGAAGACTGCGCTCCGAGCCGGCGAGGTCGACGAGCACGAGCTGCGCCGTCCAAGACGTCGTCGACACGGAGATCGTCAGCAGCGAATGACTCCGCGATGACGTGGCGTTGCGGCCCGTCGCGGCGAGCGCGCGATTGGCCATCGCCACGTGCACGAGGCTGCGCTACACCCAAAAACAACGATCGTGCCCAAGGAGTCAACGCGTCGGATGCCACGTACGGCGTCCTGCAGTGACGTGACGGCGTGGACTTCCAAGCCATCGACGTAGAATGCACTGTCTCGCTCGCGTACGGGCAAATCCGCCAGCGACGACGCCAGCGGGACGAGCAGATCCTACAACCACGACAGGGTCGCACGACCTCCCTATTTGGACGTCGACGTACATGGACCGTCTCCATGTAAATCTGGCAAAACGACATGTGCACTTTGTGCATCGTCGGCGCGAGCGCAGCAAAGAGGTGCTCGAAGACGCGGGGAATGATCCCGAGCTCCGGCGCCGACGACGCCTCGAGAAAGCCCATCGTATACGACTTGCCCGTGCCCGTTTGACCGTAGGCGAGCACGGCCCCAGACCGGCCTCCGAGCTACACGCGCTTGCTTGTCTTACCACTATAGCGACAGTCTTGTATCGTACCAAGTGAGCGACAAGCGGCGCGACCGCTTGGTCGTACACTTGCGCCTGGGACGTCCCCGGCGCCCAGACGTGGTCGAACGCAAACGAGCGCTGGCCGACATGGCGGCTGTGGGCGGGCACGATGTGGATCGCATTGGGCTCGAGCTCCAGCGCATACGAGGCGTCGTGCAGCGCGTTGTTGCCGGGAGGCGGTCGACACCGGACGCCGACCTGGATACGCTCGGCCATCCGCAACGAAAGATACCGCAGAACAACAACAGTGCGTGATGATGATTATGCAATCCATTCGAATGCGCAGTATTACCCCGACGTAAACTCGCCCCACTCGTCGTCCGCGACGGCGCTCGGGTTGTACGCTGGCGGCGGCGCAAACTTGATGGCCGAGAGGTCCACAGGCGCCTTGGGCTCCTTGGGCGTCGTCGACACTTGCGTCTTGCCGCCAATCTGGACGCGGATCGTCGCGCCTTCCGGGAGACTGAGGTCCTTGGTCTCCTTTGTTGCATTCGATGCGATGACCAGTAGCCGCTGCTTGTACCGGCCAAAGTCTTCGAGCGCTGCGCGAAAGTTAAAGGCCGCCGACCGCTCGGGAAAGCCAACGCCGATGAACGCATTGCGCTTGCTGGCGTGGTCGACCGCGCGGAGCACAAAGTAGCGCGACGAGTCGACGCAGTACTGCACAAAGACGGTGAGGCTGCGCTCGGCGTCAATGTCCACGGGGCACTGGGCAAAGAGGACCGGCGGGTTGTCGCCGACCGCGGGCTCGAAGAGCTGGATGCTGCAGTCGTCGTTGGTCTGCAGCACCTTGAGCGACGCCGTAAGCAATGGCTTCTCAATGTCCCAGGCGTCCGCGCGCGGGTCGCCCGTGAGCACCGGGATCTGGTAGACCCACACGGCCTTCTCCTGGAACAGCGTCTGCTCCATCGCAAAATGCAAAACCTCTAGAAACGAATAAGATACGCCGCCGGAGGACTTAGCGAAAAGACAGGCGGCAGAGTCTAAACCCACGCACTTTGCTTGCTGCCCACGCTCAAGTCGGCGCGGTACACGCCGTCGATCCACGCCACGAGCTTGGACCTACGCTCTTCTCACCGACCTCATCGAGCAACGTAACCAAGCAACGGCCGCGCCACGCACGACTACCCGTCTTGAGCGACGTCCCACGAGCCGCCGCCGACTGCCAAACCGGCCGCGAGCATCGTCTTGACACATCATGACACTGTCTTATCCATCGTCCGCTCCATGGGCGGCACGTACAGCACGTTGACTTCCTTAAAGTCTTCGCGTATGACTTGGGGAAAGAATTCAAGCAGACAAAATACTACTGCACGCTCGTTCAAGTCAACCTGGTTGCGTGAAAATAGCCTGATTATGTGACACGAAGCGTCGTGTCAGTTTTGGAGGATTGGCATGGCGAGCAGCGCGGAAAAGGTCGAGCCCGAGACGCCCGAAGCAGACGTGCCCGCGACCTCTTACGCGGTACCGACCCCTCGTATCGTCGTACTAGGCTATGATGCAGCTGCGTAGATCAGCGACCGAGCGTTGGCGACCGTGGACGCGCTACTGCAGCAAGACGTCGACGACCCGAGTCTCCAGCGCTACAAGGCGACGTTGCTTGGCGCCGCGGCTACGGGCGATCTCGGCGGTACGAAGATATCGTTGATTATATACCTATGACGTTGCATGAGTAGACGTCAACGACACGCGTGGTGTCGTCGTCGAGGAGTTCAAGGTTCTCGCGCGGTTGGGTCATCTTGGTTGTTGCTGCTGACGTTGGGCGATAGGTGATCTTTGAAGACGGTCGACAAGAGATTAGCCACCGATGCGACACGGCAAGTGGGCTCGCGCACCTCGAGGCGACGCCATTTGTCATGGAAGAAGGGGCGAAGTATAAATTCGCGATCCGGTTTCGGGTCAACCACAACATTGTGAGCGGTCTCCGGTTCCAGAACAAGGTCCGCAAGCACCTTTTGTCTGCAAAAGAGGACGTTGTCCTTGGCTCGTACGCGCCGCAGTCAACAGGGTACGACTTTTGCTTTCCGCGCCACGAGTGGTCTGAGGCGCCGTCCGGGCTCTTCTATCGCGGCAAGTACCGAGCCGAGTGCAAGGTAGTCCGATGTGGCATTTGCTCGTCCGTTCCAGTTGTCAAATGCCTACTGTAGTTTGTCGACTCGGAAGGCGCGGAGCACCTCCGCTTTTCGTACAGCTTTGGTAGGTCGAAACGCGCGAATGGCCCGCGGCCCTTACTCGTATTTTTCCAATAGATATCAAGAAGGCGTAATTTCAACGAATCCATCAAGATACGAACGACTGCCTTGTGTGCTTGGCTACGATAACGTTCTTTGTTCATGAGATGATATGCGTGCGTTGTCGTTCTGCCACGTCATTTTACTATCACCTATCACCTGCCACCGCAACGAGCAACACGTATCGGCGATACGTGTTGCAGCTACGCTACGTAGTAGGGTGGAAAATGACATTTATGGGTCTGTTTATGGGCTATATAATTGCGTAAATATTCTTTGTGTGGGTGATGATAAAGTCACCGAAATGCCCACTTCTCGGAAGCTTTGACCATGGACGTGCACAAAAGCACAATGAGCGCCAAGTCGACGCCGGGCGACACGTCCAAGAAAACGTAGCCGCCGTCACTGAACGACCAATCCTTGAGCCACTTAGCAATCGGCCGGCCATTGGAGTAGAGAACGACCGACGATCCGGCGCCACCCGTGGCCGCAAAGACGCGGCGCATCTTCGTGACGACGTCTTGAAATTCGCACTTGACCTCGACATTGCCCAAGGCCACAGAGACGTCAAAGCGAAGTAGAAACGATGTCGCCTTGCCGTGACCATTGGTTCGTAGCACGTCGCTGCGTCCAGGCGTAAACGTTCGCGACTCGATCGCTGCAACTTCGGCGCCGGTCGCGTCGCGCAGGAGCTTGCGGTCGTGCATCGACCAGAAAGTAGGGTCCATGATAAAGTACGGTGCGCCCGTGAGCTCGTCTCGGATGATGCACTCGCCAGCGTCTGGACGGTGGCGGATCCTGAGGCGCACGGGCTGGGCCAAGACGAACTTGGGGTCGATGGCCGTGATGGGTGTTTTGGGAGGCAAGAGTGCTATGGGCCGCACGTCTTTGTGCTCCGACATGCAAGCACCCATGGGGATGACGGATCGACGTGCGCAAACTAGAAATGGATTCACTCGAAAGATGCACAGGCATCCTGTCCAACTGGTCTTGTCCACTTGCTCGTGTACACTGTAGGTTAAAGTCTGAGTTGTCACACTGCCGCCCAAATACGGTTCAACATGCCGCAGTGGTTCCACATCGTATTGCAGTAGGAGATGACTATCCACCGCGAGTGCGACTGTGAAAACACCGCCTTTAATCACAAACGGTGTGGCGTCCACAACAATAATGGCGGAAACGCGTGAGCGGGCAGGGGGCTGACCCAAGAATGCAAGGAAGCGTCAATAAACCATTTATTGACGCTTGGTGCAAGGTATCGCCACGAGCCACTCTGACAAGCAATCTCTGGTCCGGCAGCGAATGAGTCGCGGTTGATCTCTTCGTCCTGGCACCTCGCGTCCACGAAATACTCTTTCGGGGGCTCGTCTGTTCGTACCCCTACCCCACTTACACACTTAGTTGTCGAAACACATACTAGCTTTCGAATATAGTCGCCTTGAGACCGCATGCAAACAGTAGACACTTTCAAGATTCGCTCGGGCGTGAAAAAAATCCTTTCAATTTCAACGCGCAGCTCGTCCCTGCTACGCGTGCACCCCTCGTCGTGGCTGTATACGTCGGCAAGAGACACTTGTTGAACTCGTGTCCATGTCAATGAAATCGGCTTCATAATATAGCATTGCACCCGCTGGAATCAATACGAGGACAAAAGAAGGGATGCTCTATCGAGTCGATACGTTTGCGTTTGTACACTGGACTAACGTTAGGCTCACGCTCTTGGTGGTTGGCAGCCCTTAGCCACTTCGTTGGCTGTGGGCGAGCCTCGTAGCTTACTTCTGCACAAACCCTTTAGTATACCAGACCATCCATTCTATAAGAAAGGGCCGTGGGACGCTGGCCGTGGGATGATTTGCGTTTCATGCTGCTCCGTGGTTTTGCCACGTCACGAGCCAATGCCTTTAGTATACTCTGGGCGCTTTGAATGCTTTCAATTGTATCTTGGAGAGTTCAAATAGATTATATTTGATAAGAGGATTGGAATATATATGCAAGCATGAAACATATCAAGCCTATTCGGAGGCCTCTTGCACCCCGACGCACAAGAGCACAATAAGCGCCAAATCGACACCGGGTGCAATGTCCACAATGTACTTGTCGCCACTCAGAGTCCAGTCGCTTTCAAACTTTGCAATCGCATGACCATCGCAGCGGAAGACCATGTTCCAGGACCCGACGCTCCCCGAGGCCGTCAGCACATGACGCTGCTTGGTCACCAAGTCGACGAATTCGCACGTGAGGTCCGTACAGCCAAAAAAGTTGGTCACGTCAAAACCAAAAATGTGCGACGTGGCCTCACCACGGCCGTTGGTTCGCAGCACGTCGCGATGACCGAGCGAGAACGAGCGCTCTTCCATCGTTGCCACTTCGGTGCCGTAAGCATCGCGGAGCAGCTTGCGGTTGTGGAACGACCAGAACGCGCCGTCGACCAAAAAGTATGGGACGCCCGTTGCGACGTCCTTGACACGGAACTCGCCCGAGTTGACCCAGTCGTTGTGGCGGATGTTGAGGCGCATCGGGCACTTCAAGACAAACTTGGGGTCCACGGCCGTGATGGGCGTCGGTGGTACGACGAGCGGCGTCGCGATAACGTTTTCGTCCGACATGCAAGCACCCATGTTGTTGTTCTTGTTGTTAAAAACTTCAAATTGAAAAGTGAGCCTTTCACAAAGTGTATATTGCTGTTCGTGTTGGTTGCGTCGAGTCACACGTTGGTGTCTGTCACAAACAGCTGTGTCCAACGTGGCCTGTCTACTGTCCACAAGTCGGAACTCAGAGTCTCGGCAACAACACTATAATCAAACTCGAAATTCAGCCGCACGCTTGAACGTACCTTTATTGCTAGCGATAACGAAGTCAGTACTACGCTACGTAGACCCGGAACATATTTTGTGTGCCAATGAAATATAGTTGCGGGGCAGGCGGGCATGCATACGTGGCATGCCTTTAAAGTATTGATGGTGTTTTAGAGCGTCCACACGAATAAGATAAGGCAAGCTGTCTGATACCGGTAGAGGAAATGCAACGAATCAGAAATTGTCTGCCAAAGTCTGTATTTTTGTTGTTGAAATGCATCCACGAACGTTATAATTACGAAAACATCGTCTCTGATGCCTCTTGCGCGCCAACGCACAAAAGAACAATGAGCGCCAAGTCGACGCCTGCCGCAATGTGCAGGAAATACTTGTCACTCAGTGTCGCGTCCTTCTCGAATGTCGCGATCACGTGGCCGTCGCAGCGAAAGACCATGTCCCAAGACCCGACGCTGCCCGATCCCGTCAGCTCATGACGCTGCTTGGTCACCAAGTCGACGAATTCGCATCGGACGTCTGTACAAACCAAGAAGAACGTCGTGTCAAAGCTAAAGACAAGGGACGCCTCGCCGCTGCCGTTGATGCGCGACACGTCACGGCGTCCGCCCGATGTCCACGGCTCGTCCATCACTGCGACTTTGACGCCGTTGGCGTCGCGCAGCGTCTTCCGGTTGTGGCACGGCCCAAGCGCACCGTCGACAACGAAGTAGGGCACACCGGTCGCAACGTCCTTGATGCGAAAAGGTCCCTCGCTGGACCAGTCATAGCGAGCGTGCAGGCGCACTGGTGTCTTGAGGACGAATCTCGGGTCGACGGCCGTGATGGGCGAAAGCGGCGCAACGAGGAGCGGTGTAGGGATGGGTTCGTCCGACAGACACGCGCCCATATCGGATACCGTTGTCGACACTGGAATTTCGAAAATGACGACCAGCCCCTGTCGGTGGCCAAAGCCGTGGTCGCGGTACGTGTCCTACGCCTGGTCCAACGCCCCATTTAGCACGCGTCGACTAGGTGCTAACGTTATTGGCATCTCGACGCGAGTGTTCTCAGGCAGTGTCCAACGCAAATTTCTGCACAGCCTGTAGTCACGCGACAACGCGCAGAGCCAAACAAGTTTATGGCCCAAAGTCTTAGACACATAATATATGTATTTGAACGACACAATGTACAACTTCGTGAGATCGCTACTCATCCGATGCGTCAATAATAGCAGTACACAAAAGCACAATGAGCGCCAAGTCCACGCCGGGCGAGACGTCCAAGAAAACGTAGCCGCCGTCACTGAACGACCAATCCTTGAGCCACTTTGCAATCGGCCGGCCATTGCAGTAGAGGACGACCGACGATCCGGCGCCACCCGTGGCCGCAAAGACGCGGCGCTTCTTCGTGACGACGTCCTGAAATTCGCACTTGACCTCGGCGTTGCCAAAGAAAGTGGTCGCGTCGAAGCGAGTAAAAAGCTCGTGGCCTCACCGTGCCCGTTGGTTCGCAGCACGTCCCTGCGTCCCTCCGTGAAAGTTCGCGACTCGATCGTTGCAACTTCGGCCCCGGTCGCATCCCGAAGGAATTTGCGGTCGTGTAAAGACCAGAATTTGTCGTCAATGATAAAGTACGGCGCGCCCGTGACCTCGTCTCGGATGATAAACTCGCCAACGTCCACGTTGTGACGGTGGCGGATCTTGAGGCGCACGGGGTCAGCCAAGACAAACTTGGAATCGATGGCCGTGATGGGCGTAAATGGCGGCATGAGCTCGACGGGACGCAAATCTTCGTCTGACATGCATGCACCCATGGGTGTGATTGATCGGCGCGGACAAAGAAGAAATGATTGATTCACTGCTCGAAAAGCATCAAACCGAGAACACGAATCGTGTCCAACAGGTCTTGTCGCTTGTCTCAACTGTCGGCGGACAGTTGTTGAACCCGTGTCCACATCAATGAACTCGGCATTATAGGCTATAATACCCGTACGGGAGCTAAAGAAACCTTGCCGTTGTCTTGCCCTGCTATTTAGCACGAGGGTGTCGGCTCGTTGGGTTGCACTAGATACTACATAATATGTAGTGTCTAGTACAGAACGAAATCGTTGGGTTGCATCGAGCCGACGCGCTTGTGCTAAATAGCAAGGCAAGTCAATGGCAAGGTTTCTTTAGCATTTTGCTAGATGGAGTAAGGGCTACACTGCTGTCGAAGTGCGATGCTGATAATGTTAAGTTGGAGCGTTCCATCACGGTTGTCGCCCTGAAATGTGTGTCTTCACGATCGCGTACAATTGTACCAGCGCGGTGAAGATGGAATACTTTACTGGGGGTTTCGTATCCTTCACTTAAGTACCTTTGACCATCTGGAAAGGTTTCACAATTATTTTCGAGCCGAGGAACCGAGGGAGCATGGCGACGACGCGGGAAGCGCAGGCCATGGCGGTCGCGGAAGACGACGACAGCATGCAGGGGTAACTGGCCCATCTTCATGCCTCTCTTTGATGGGCTCATCCCTCGTTCCCCTCTTCCTACCCTCCTGCGCAGACTTCCTTGGGTCCTCTACCACGACAGCGCGTCCAACATGCCCTGCTACGTAAACTCGGTGACGCAGGACGTCCTTTGGGGCCTTCCCCTCGAGAGCGAGACGCATACCATCTACCGCGTCGCGCGGGCCGTCTCTCGAGACCACCCACGCCGTCGACGGGCCATGTCCTTGCCCGACCTGCGCCGGAGCATCACGCACCACACGTACGGGCGCATCGACCTGTCCCTGCAGCTCGTCCAGGCGACCAAGACCAAAGACAAGAAGGTCCGTATCGATCCGAAGGCGCCGGCGCTCCAGGAGAAGGCCCGTGCCTACCTCACCGTCGCTCACCTCCACTGCGAGTACATGACGCGCTTCTACCACGAGAACGGGACCAACTACTCGAACGAAAAGTACCGACACCTCCACGCCTTCCGCCTTCCTCCGTACGGCAGTAGCTCGACACTGCAGGAGATGGAACCGAGCTCGCTCCACCAGTCGATCGTCTCGAGTGCCCATTACCGATCGTTTGTCGGCAAGGTTGAGGATGATACGGCGACTGCTCCAAGTGCCGGACCACGCACTGCAATCGAAGGTGAAAAACGGTCTCCGGAAGACCCAAAGATCGTCGAGGCGCCTCGGCATCGCCAAAAGAAACGACTCAGCGCCAAGGCCAAGCGTGCCCTGTACCGCACCCACCGGCTCGACAACGATGTCGTCGGTGCTTCGCGTGACGTCGACAAGAACCAAGCGCTCGTCAGCTGCATGGCCGCGCTTCCTGCGTAGTCCCTCGCTTCGTGCGCTCCTGAAGACAACAATATTGCGACTAACTTGGATATTGACTTTAAACGGGTTTCGGCATCGTGCATGAGACAAGTGGACTCTGGAACATGGCGCGGTTGTAGGCAATGGACGTCATCGCGTGCTTGGGCAAGCACCACATTCGCTGCGTTGCATGCATGCATTGCTCTTCCACAGTGGCTTTTGTCAGTCTACAAAAACAGTTAGCATATAGCAACCTCGTAGAAGGCCGCGTCGTACCGTCGAAGGCTCTGGCGTGCAAATTGATAGAGGTCTTTGCCCGTGACGGACGTCTGCAACTGGGCCAATTGACTCGGGTCGATGCCCCATCGGTCCTGCAGTTGCTGAGCCAGTGCGCGTCGTCGCTCGCCGCGACGCGAAGCTGGCGACACACTTGGCCGACAGCGGCAAGTGCCGCGCCATCGAGGTACCCCAAAATCGTCCCAATGCTCTCGTCCGTGATTCCGCCAAGGATGCCAACAGGCACGTAGCGGCGGCGGTACGGATGCACGACCAACTGGTACTGGGGGTTGACCACAATCCAGTTCTCGGACTCGTCGCGGGTCGTCGTGTGGGATAGGGGCATCTTGGGGCCTTTTGGCGCGTTCGTAAATGGCGAGTTCCAACCAGTTTTGTATGTCGCCTCACAAAAGCTAATTTTGGCGCCACCGCTGTTCGTGCCATTTTGGGCGAGCCGTTGGTATCGGTTGGCGGCTAATCTGGGCGATGAGCCGGCCCGACATGCTACTACTGCCTCCACGATAAACTCGTCGCATGCAATAGGATTCAGAGCTTAAAGATCGGTGTTGGCGATGCACTTGTTGACCACGTTGAGCAAATGAGCGTTCTCGAGCGCGGCCGCGACGCGCTCCTTGTCGTTGAGCTGCTTGTTGACTAGAAAGCAGGAATAAGAATGGCATCCATAAGATACGACACGTACTGGCATCTTCGGTGATGTGCGTCCCCGGCGTGATGCGAATGTCGACCTTGAAGCGCTTTGGCAACGAGCGCAAAAGCTTGACGCGAATGCAAAGGCCAATGAGCGTGGCCATGCTACAGGCGCATCGACGGTTGGCATGGATGAATCAACCAAGAGGGCTCGTGTAACCTGCAGTGCGGGATGGTGGGCGTGAACTGGACCTTGACGCGGCTCGTCGCATTGTCCACCAAGATGTTGTCGAGCGTCATGACCTTGAGCTGCTCGAGCGTCAGCGGGTGCTCGGGGTCGTTGAGGTGGCGCAGAATCTCTACGATGGCATCGTCAGAGCCCTGCGCACCCGAGGCTGCGACGAACCAAAGACTTCGAGCGCATCAAACGGGTCGGCGCTCTCTTCGTCCGTCACCTTCTCGACCCGGCGCTCCGTCGCGCTCGCGTACACGGTCGGGTTGGCATTTTGCTTCTCCGCGCCGGCCATCGTCCTTGTTGGCGTCTTGATTGTGCACAGCCAATCACATTGCACTTTCAAATACCTTGGTGTTTGTATGGTCTTAAAATCGGCACACGCCGCGATCACGACCGTATTCTGTTTCTAGCACACCAACTAGATCCTAGAGCCAAGGGTCATTGAGATCTTTTCGGTCTTGTCGACTCATGTCACGACACACAATAAGGAGCGCGCTCAAAAGGGGGTTGATGCAACACGTTGAAAGAGATGGCGGCGCCGAGCCTTCGCATCCCTGTCTGAATAGATATGTACTAGTACATCTATTATAGTCTATAATAGATGTACGTACCCTTGATCTATAATTTACAGATCAAGGGTCCGAGCCAGGCCCAGCAGCTGCCATGAGCTTCGCGCTTTGCGCAGCTGCGATTGAACTTCAAGCGACAAAATAGAGTTCCGCAGCAAGGTGCCTGCAGCATCATGCAGGCTATACCCAGTGGGCTGTAACTAGAAGGAGTAGACCCTAGTAGATTCTACTAGTGTACGTGCTCGTTCACGGCGGTGTCGTTGACGCCATCGTGCATCGTGCAGACAGTGCGCACTGGCCTGTCTTTGGGCCCTGACGCCATCGCCGGATCTGCGAAGAGCTTGCTCGCAATGGAAAGGCCGTCGAACCATCAATCGAACGTGTCGTGGCTCAAATTGCCAAAAAGAGGTGCGAGGAATCGGCATCAAAAAGTGATATATAAAACACGCAACTCGGCACCTGCTGTCCACAAGCGGTCGAGGTCGCGTGCCACAAACGCACTCGACAGCTTTTCCATCGCAGGATTGTGAGGTTGCCCGTACATGCCTTAGCCATAGACAAGTGTCATGTGACTATTCTACGACCAGAGCAAATGCACTCTAGTCACTTCGCCCAGCTCAAACACCGCCTTTCATGGTGCGCCCATCTTCAGGATTTCCCATCAAATCCCTCTCCGCCACATGTCTTCATCTTGACTGTGTGAGGACATCGTCCACGTCGACACGGGTGCGTCATCCCGCCGCACCGCAGCTGCGCAATTTGTAGCAATGGCGGTGGCGGCTGCGCCGGGTTGCGTGCAATTAGTGCCTTGTTGCTGTCTATGATTGGTGCCAGAAAGGGTGGCTCTTGGCGTTTGTATGCCGGAGTGCGCTTCGAGGCGAAGTTCGAAGCATCAAGTATCTTGCTGCCCTAGGGCAAGCTGGCTAGCGACAGCAAGACGACGGGTGCGTAGTACACGTACCGCAGAGAAGCGGGCGATGGAGAAGGGAGCGTTGAACCGCCTGCGAAGCTCGAGCGCCCACATGTACAGCATCTCGGGCCAGCGCACAGCCGAGAACCAGGCCATGAAGATGAACACGTTCCCCGCCGACATTGGCGCGCCCGTGCAGGACGCGGGCGAGGCCGCCGCCGTCGACGAGATGCCCAGCCTCCCGGCGACGCTGCTGCGCACGCACCAGCGGTCGATCGACGAGACCATGGTGTGGTCGACGGTCACGCCGACCGAGATTGCACCGACGGCGTCGAGCGACGAGAACAGTGTCGTGTCGCGCATTGCAACGCTCTCGGTGCTGCGCGACCAAGGCTTCATTGACGAAGACGAGTTCCAGCGGCGGAAGAAAGCCATCATCGACGAGCTCACGTACCCGCGCCGGATAGGCGGCCGGGGCGCGCTGCAGCCCGGCGCGGGCCTCCCGCTCATCGTTGCGCACCCGCCCAACTTTGGCGGCCTCGTTCCCGAGGACGCAATTCGACACATGTTCAACTATACGACGCGGCAATGGGAAACCTCCAAGGTAGAGCTTCCGTCTCGCTCAAAGTTGCTGAAGATCCTCAACATTCTCTAGGTGACCATCGTGCTGGACGAGACGCCGTTCGCAAAGGGCAGTTTGCGGCTCGTGTACCATCTCCAAGACATCACCGAGGCCGCGACCACGTATGTCGCCAAGGTCGCGATCGACCCGGACGAGGACCCAGAGACGTACTTTCGCGACATTGAGCTCCAAGCCCACTGCGCCCACTACGCCGAGATGTACAACGAGTACAAACCGCCCAAGCGCGTCGCGTTCATCGAAGCGTGGGTGCTCGAGCTCAAGCAGCGGTGCGTGTCCCGTGCACTCGGATGCTCGTGACGTGGCAACTCGCGTAGGAGCGGCGCGCTCTGCGCGGTTGAGCGCTACATCCCCGGCGAGTACCGCAAGCACAACAACAATTTTGGCAGCGTCAGCGACGAAGAGCGCAACACGCCGCAGGCCTTTTCTCATTTTACGTACGAAGTGTCCAACCACGAGCTCCTCGCCGTCGACATTCAAGGCGTTGGCGACCGGTACACGGACCCGCAGGTACGCTTCTTTGTATCAAGATATCAAGGCGGACAGCAACGTAGATTCACACGCTCAACGGCCACGACTTTGGGAAAGGCAACCTCGGCGCGCTCGGGTTTCAGAAATTTCTGCACTCGCACCGGTGCAACTCGATCTGCACGTACCTCAAGCTGCCGCCCGTCAACCCCAAGGTCCTCCCTGCATCCTTTTGATCGCTCTATTTATTCTTGTGTGTTTCGTGCAGGAGCGCTACAAGGACTATGGCACGGTGCCCGTGCAGGAGCTCATGAACTCGGACCGCATCAAGGAGGTGCGCTTCGAGAGCAAGCACTACTATGAGAACGCGCCCATGCTGCAAAAATACGTGGCGCAGTGCAAGGAAGACGAGTCGGCGCACCCGACGGCGTCGACGCGAGCGTGTCATTTCTGCGGCCTCTGTGCCATCCAATAAGATGATAGTATGAACACCACCCCACGAGCTTTTGGTTTGAACCAGCATGCGTCGATTGGCAGACAGCGTCTTTCTCAATTTGCACGCCAAGCAAATACGACTCTTTGATACTACACGCTTAGTTGGTCTTGGACTTGCCGGCGAGCGCTTGCATGTCGCGGTCCAATGTCTCGGCAAACGCGTCGAGCGAGAAGAGGTCTGTCGCCCGCTGCTTCCCCGCGGCTCCGAGCCTCGCGCATAGACCGTTCGCATCTTCGACCAGCGTCGCGAGCACGGCACCCCACGCCTCGCCATTCGGTGCGCAGTGAAAGCCCGTGACGCCGTGCACGATCGACTCGAGCGGCCCGCCCGTGTTGGTGGCGACGACCGGCGTCCCGCAGGCCATCGCTTCGACGGGCACGATGCCAAAGTGCTCCAAGCTCGGCGTATACAGGATCGCGCGCGCTTGAAAGAGCAATTGGAGCTTTGTCACGTTGGCGATCGACGTTAAAAAGGTCACGTGCGACGCCAAGTCGTGCGTCGCCACGTGCGCCTGCAGTTCGCGGAGATGCTCGGCGTTTTCAACGTTGAGCGGGTCGTAGCCGCCGGCGATCACGAGGTGCACGGATGCAAAGGTGGTGGCAGCGACGCGACTGCGAAGCGCCACAAGCGCCTCCAATGCGAGCGCGATGTTCTTCTTGCGCTCAAACCGGTTGAGCGACACAAAGAGACACGGGTGGGCCAGCAGCGACTGTAATTGCGCATCGTTTTTTGGGGACGGCGGCACGGAGGCAAAGTCAGCGAGGTTGACGGGCGGGTACAGAATGCTTAGCTGGCGCGACGCCAATGTCGGGAACGCGCCTTGGAAGACCGACGCCGTAAACTTGCTGTTGACGACGATCGTGTCGGCCGCATCTACCGAGGAACATGAGACGAAGACGAGAGCGCGCATGTCGTATACAGGTCGTGACTTCCTCGAGCTTGTCGAGCGGCCACCGGTACAGCTGCTTGAGTGGCGACGACCGATCCGTGCAGAGGAGCTTGTCGGGGTAGTGGCCGTAAAAGTACACGGGACGTCCCAAGAACGCGCGCAGAAACGGCACGGGCAGTGCGACCTGGTCGACGATGAAGACGTCTGCGTCCCACTGCTGCAGCGCCAGGCGCAGCGTGATGTACAGCATGCGTACAAACGCGCATGCTGCGTACATGCGCCCGAGGATCGTCCGCGGCAGCCAGTCGCCGTACACCACGACGAAGCGCGCGAGTGGGCCGTCGCCACGCGTCTCCTCAAAGCAATGGCCCTTGTCGTGGTGCGCTGTAAAGAGGTGCACGACGTAGCCCTTGGACTGCAGCGCGACGGCGGCGTTCACGATGAGGTTTTCGGCGCCGCCAATCCCGAGGTCGGGGTGCAGGAAGGCCACCTTGCGCGGGTGGCGAGGCGCCGCCGCAGGAAGCGAGCGGATAAAGCCGCCGTAGATCAGCCAGAGTGCGGCCAGAGCGAGCGCATAGAGCACATAGTCGGCCATCGTCGTGGAGCAGCAGCCGCACGGAGCCATCGGCGCAGCTTCGTGTCAAAATTCGATTGCTTACAAGCGGTTGATAACCGTCTTTTTATCAAAAGGTTAGCTGTAGTCGGTTAGTGCGATTAAACCGGCTAGAGTTTGTGCTGACCGACCTTGGATCGGCGATGTCTTGGAGGTTCGCGCCAACCTGACCAAACAATTTTGTCATGACAACAGCGCATCACTGTCCATATAAATAAAAGCTTCAGCTATTCTACACAGCAGAGATGGAGTGCTATAGCGCTCAATTGACTAGAAGAACGCTGTCGATTTCCATCATACGGGTACTCCTAGCAGTGTACGCTTTTAAAGGGCGCTACCTGCGCTACCGCGTGGGCTAGTTCACAGTAGCAAAGAGAGTGGGGCGTGGAGAATGTAGCCGTCGTTTTGTGGAGCAACGGGCGTTTGCTCGGTCCGGATAATGCGCTGCGCACAGCCTGCCAGCTCAGAATCATCCGGATCTGAAAATTGAATCCAACGGGCTCGTGGCACAAAATGGGCTCGTGCTGGCATTCTACAAGAAGCCATGGCAGTGCCGGACGACGTCAAGAAGGCGCAGAAGCGCATCCGCCAAAAGAAGTACGCTGCTGCCAACAAGGAGAAGATTGCGGCCAAGAACAAGGCGTACTACGCTGCCAACGCAGAAAAAGAGCGCATCCGCAAGAAGGCGCACTACGATGCCAACAAGGACAAGATGGCGGCCAAGGGCAAGAAGTACACGGCTGCGAACAAGGACAAGATTGCGGCCAAGAACAAGGCGTACTACGAGAAGAACCGCGCGCAAATGCTGGTGAAGAAGAAGGAATACAACCAGAAGAACAAGGACGTTCGCCTGGACAAGTCGTGGCGCATGCCGAATTTGGCGTACAAAAACGCATACCAGCGAGCTATGTACGATGTCCTTGCGATCAAACCGAGTGGTTTTCTCATGTCTTTTCCTAGTCGGGCGCGAAAGAAGGCGATTGCGGCCGGAGAGGTCCCACCGCCAATGCCCAAACTCGCCGACTTCCGAGCGCAACACGAAGCCTCTGGTAGCGTCGCGCCAGCTGCGTCGACGGACGCAGCTCCAGACGACCTCCTTGATGAAGACGACGACGATGTTTCCCATCCCTTGGCCGCGACCACCAAGAAGGTTGTCATGGTCAGCTTCACAGACGAGCATCCGTTCAACATGCGCAAGCGTGGGCCCGAGCCGTGCTGCGACGAGTGCGCGCTCTTCCAGCCCAATGCGCTGACCTCGGCCACCAACACGGTGCTCTTGGCAGGCACGTACATGTGCACGTTCTGCCGCGACTGGACCTACTACCGTCTCCATCGCAAGCACAAGCGCACCCGCACCGACGCCCGCCTCGACGCTCTCTCCACCTGAGCTTTTTGTTTTGGATATTTTCATAATGGAGCGTGTTGATATATGTCTTCTTCCTCTTCCCAGGCAAGTTGTTTCTGTGCCTTCTACACGTTGATTAGCACGTAGATACTGTAAGGACTTGCAGCAGTTCACCTTAACAGGTCCTTGGTATCACTAAGGACAGTGCAGGTACAGACAAAGGCTCTCAAGACCTCTACTTGCTACAGAGTCTGTACGACTGCAAGATGGTGTCCTTGCCTGGATCTGCTCAAGTGATGGCAACCTTATCCGGATACCATACGTGGCAGCACGCGAGCCGTTTCAGGACCACGTCGGCCTCATAGCGTCGAAACGGGCATGTCGAGCGGTCAAGCGAGTCTCGCCGTCGGTGCGATTGGCCTCATGCTGCTAGCGGGCAGCCTCGGTAAGCTGCATGCGCTTGCTGCATGACATCAAGCCTCGTCGCCAGTGTGCCTAGCCGCCCCGGCCATGAGCCTCGTCCCGACTGCGGTCGTCGTGCCAATGGGCATCGTGGGTGTGACAACCGTGGGGCTGATTGCGTATTACCTCTGGATCGGGTACCAAGAGGCGAGTGCATTTGCGACAGAAACGTCGCCGCTTCTCGGGTGCGCGTCTTGGCATTATCTTGCAGACTTGAACACGGCGCAGATCACGCTTGACGGACGCCACGGGCCGCAACGTGGCACGCCGCCTGCGCGCATGCTTGTACGTTGGTCGCATTTTTTCTGCGTGGGTACGCCCAACAACTAATCCGGACCTGCTTGTATGCATGTATTGTCTTGTGGTGCTAGGGAGACCGCATGTGGCAATTTGCGATCCCACTTCTCTTTATGGAGATTTACAAGGACACGCTGCTTCCAAGTGCTCTCTTTTCCCTTGTATGAAAGCTACTCGTCCATCCGGACGAGGACGCAACGACGTTCTAGGTTGTCTACGTGGTGGGTCTGGTGGCGCTCCCACGCATCGGTCGCTGGCTCGATGCGACCAACCGCCTGTCCGTGCTCGCGCGCTCCATCGCTATCGAAAACACTTGCGTCGTCTTCAGCACCGCGTCCCTCGCATCCCTTCTGCTAGTCTCGTCGCCGTACGTTCGGACTGCCGAGGCCTGAGACCATGGTTTGGCGTGTACTTGGGCTGCCGCCCATATCCTCTTGGCACTCACGATGCTCGCGGGAGCCATCGGGCCAGTCTTCAACGACGTCCAAGCCTTGGCGATCGAGAAGGACTGGGTCGTCGTTGTGGCCGCCGCAACGCAGACGCCACTCGCCTCGTGGAACACGACTCTGCGCCGCATCGACGTGGTAGACTCACGCAATCGGCTCCCTGTCGTCGACGCACTCAAGTAGATACCGCTGGCATCGATTACACTACCGTATCGGCGCAGACAATGCATCTTGTGCCGGCACAACGCTTGTGGCGCACGTCCAGCGTAAAGTATCAAGTGATAGCCAATCACGAGGACGCAATGCAGCCTTACAACCAATATAATCGTCGAACAAAGTCGCAACCGCCAATCCAATAGCTCCGAATCTTTCGACGCAATACGGACCACGCGATGGCTGTCTCACACGCCGCCGCCAACACAACAGACCAAATCGAACGTGCGTCCAGCACACGCCTCCGCCGCCGGCGATGAAACCATCGCACTCGTTCGACTTCCTTCCGCGCCAGATCACAAAAGGACCTTGCTGCGTGTCGCGATTGCATTGCCCATCATCTCGTCGCCGACACCTCGCTGTATCTTTGGAGGTGGCGAGAAACTGGTCGATGCTGCCAGTGAGCAACATACTATGTAGCAACAAGCTCGGAATCGCCGCCGGTCGTTCCACACGCACGCTGCATGTCTGTCTGCATTCTAATAAGGTATGACGCAATTCTGTCGACACTGCAACGGAGACACTAACGGAGACGTGCATCTCGAGTGCTCGTTTCTCGTGCCACGCCACTTGCCGCCTTTCTTCAAGAGCACCGAGTTACTCACGCCGAATGGGCCACCGAAGGGACCCCCCCATTACGCAAAATGGCCGCACCTAGCACAATATAAATATATATTTTAATGTTAATACAAACGGCAGGGTTGATAAGACGAAATAGAAAGAACAAATCAATCGCACCGCAACGTTCGATTGTATTTGGTAGGGCCCGCACTCGTTGGTCAGCGCCGTCGCCCACGTTCTATTTTCAAAAACACGGTTGCCCGATCGCTACACTTATCTCCTTGAGCATGGCGACGTCTCCGATCACTTCCCCGCGCATGCCACTCTCGCGCTCCAACTCGCCAGAGCTCGAGGGTGCCCCGGTCGCGCCGGCACCCCGGCGTGAAGCCAACTGCTCGACGTTCTTCCTCGGCGACGGTGACGACCCGACGCACGTCGAGTACAACTGGTGCGGCGAGCCGCTTGGCCTCGAGCTGCAGCGCCCGCGCCTCAAGGAGCTGAATCCCATCATGATCCTGTGGCGCGAAGGCTCCGTGGGCATTACGTTTGGCATCGAGCAGGCGACTCGCAAGGTGGTCGTCAAGCGCACGTCGCGCAAGGAACACGACGTGGCGCCAGGTTACATTCTTCTCAGCGTCAACGGTCAATCCGTGTGGGAGCGCAACTTTGATTTCGCGATGCGCGAGCTCAAGATTGGCCACGAAGCTGGCCGCACGCAGTCGCTCGAGTTCATTGCGCCGCCGCCACCGCCGCTCGTCAAGGCCGTGCCCGCCAACGGCGTCCTCGAGCGCGCTGGCGTCAACTCGTTTTTCGAGCTCAAGTCGATCAACGGCATCCAGACGCGGTACCTCTCGCTCGAGCAGATCTCGACGCTCATGCGCCAGACCATCAAGCCGTGCGTCATCTGTTTTGCCCTCAGTCCCGAGGCCCAGGAACTCGCCAACACTAAGGCTGCGATTACGACAGGGCGTGTCCAAACCGGCGCGTCTCTCGCGGTCGCCGCGGTCTTTGCTGCGGTCTGTATTTAACCTCTACCCTTTTACCTCTTGAAAGATTTTGTACTATCAACGTATCAACCAGTATCTCAAGGCGAAGCTTTTTTGAACGCCGAGGGGCACAAGTGCGCGACGGTGCAGACGTCGCAGCGCGGGTTCAATGGATGACAGACCTCTTGGCCAAACCCGACGAGCAGCGCGTTGACGGGGTTCCATTTCTCGTACGGTAGCCAGTCTTCGAGCTCCTACAGCGGCGATGTCAATGTGCACTCGTTGGATCGATGATGACCTTGCGCGTCTTCTCTGGGTCCTGGCTCTTGGGGTTTTGCTTGTTCCAGGTTTTGACCCACCCGAGGCGGTTCGAGATGCGGTGCACGTGCACGTCCACGCAGATACCAACAGTCCTAACACCATAAGTCAACCTCAAGAGAGCCAATTTCATCGCGGACTTTTCCCAGGCCGCCGACATGGTCAAGTGGGCCATCTTGGGCCCGACGCCCGGCAGCGCCATGAGCTCGTCAAACGTTGGCGGTATATCCGAGGCGTATTTTTCCTGCAGAATGGCACCTAAGGAGAGATTTGTATCGGCTTTGATGCGTTTCGCTGCGCTTACAAGTCTTGTGGAGGTACGTGGCCTTGTTGTTGAAGAAGCCCACGGGGCGCAAGATCTGTGCGAGTTCGTTGCGGTCTGTCGCAAGGATGTTGGCCACCGTGAGCCCTACGGATGCATGTTGCGTCGTCGGTGGTCGGAGTAGACTTGGTACCATGCTTCTTGAGGCGCTCCATGGCGGCAGCCGTGACCGGGTCTTTGGTTTGGCTGCTTAGCATGGACGCCACGAGCACATGAAAGCGGCGAAGTGGTGGTGCCAGCGATGGGTCGTTGAACGACTAGTCGAGACAAGGCACTTCAGTTGAGGATAACATGGAAGAAAGTACCTCGCAGCCTTGATTGTCGACAGCTGCAGTGCGCTCTGCACGCATGAACGTGATGCCATCCCACACTTGCTCCCAGTTCGCGGGCTCGGCCTTCTGCTTCTTGACCTTGACATCGCCGTCGGGCGGCTTGGCCACCTCGTCATGAATCCCAAGCTTCTCAAGAGGGATATTGTCGTCTGCTAGCATTGCTCGACCTTGGCCTTGCGCTTGGACCGCGTCGTTGGCGTCTTGGGCGTCGTTGGCAGTTCGGGCTCCGCTTTGATCAGCGGCTCGCGCTTGACGTGCACCTTGGTCGCGCTGGTGCTAGGCTCACGCTTCAGCGCAGCCTCACTTCCGCGCTTGGAGCTCGCGAACCGCGGCGAGCGCACGGTGCGCACAACGTGCTTGGACTCGGCGACGACTCGGCTACGTAGTTGCATCTTGGGGCAACAGTGAACTTCGAGGTGCGTCATCACAGTATATCTCGACTAGAGTTAAATAGAGTCCGCCAAACCTTAAACAAATAGTGTATTAGTGTGTGATGATCATGGCCACCTTGCTAAGAAAGGCGATGATGTTCTGCAGCAGCCTTTCGCACACCTGCACTGCCATTCAGCTGCAGTGCCATCAGCTCCAAGCTACCCTAGCCATCACAGAATTCGACGCTCAGCCCTCGATCCCGCTCTCACTCCCGTAGTAATCGTCACCAACCGACAGGTGTGCGCCTTCAACGTGCACGAGTGAGTATTCATCAAACAGAACCAACCGTAAGTTCGCAATAATTCTGGGTAAGATGATGCTCTACTAGTAAGCACCTCCAGAAGCTCGAGAGCGCTGCAGCGAGGGCAATACCGAGGGCTCAGCTGCGGCGATCCTGAGAATAGAATTGCAAGAGAATGCTATTAGCACGAGCGAATGCCACGTGCCAAACGCCTCCATCACCAGTTTCGGTCTGTCTCGTGGGCTGAATTCGCTTAGATAGTACTGCACCCGCTCGACACGCGACTGGCCGCGCCCGTCCATGCCCGTGCCGACGCCACAGACATGCATCGCCGCGACGTTGGGACCAAAATGCTTTGAGAGTGCGCCTCGAGGCCCGCGCCCTCGACCTGTCGATGGGACGATCTGTGCGAATGGCTCTAGAGAGGCAGACGGAACGTGTGGATCGGGCGCGCGATGCGTTCTCCATACCGCGTTGCGATCTTAAACCACATGGTTTTATGTGCTGTTCGACCTTTACCCTCGAAATCGCCGCCGGACGCCAGTTGCCAACTTTATTGAAGAGGTGATACGAGGATGGCGCCGGACCTTCACCGCGAGACGCTCGCGCTGCGCTACTGCTCGCCGTCGCCGGACGCGCCGAAGCCCAAGACATCGCGCGTCATGCGCAAGCTCGAGAACGTCCAAGCGACGCTCGGGTGCCCGCTCCTCATCGTGAACCGCCCGACGCGGTCGCAGACTGTCGGGACGCTGCCAAAGCTCAACAAACACAACTTTGCCGAGGTCATACTGCCCGCGCCGCCGCTCACGCGATCGACGACCGTGCCTACCGCCGCGCCAGCGGCCCTGCTGCAGCCGACGCTGCCACCGCGTTCCCACCACAGCGTCATGACGACG